ATCTTGGGCATGCATGCACACACACCCAGTGTGAATTTAAGCCCCCAGGTCTAGGACTCGAACAGCGGTTGACTATATGGGAGTCCAGTGACATAGCCATTATGCTAACTACTGGCCCTGTCCTCCTTAGAATTTCTGAGCGGGCAAAAGGGAACCTGGGACATGCCAGCAACAACTTGAAAGTACAGAAAATGACAAATCTACTTCTACATCAGAAGCACTCAGATGTTGGCCCCGATGGTATGCAGTAACCCTGAGAATCCTGGATACCTTGCACTGCCACCTAGGGAAGTCTTAAGTCTGTCCATATCCTTCAGGGCCTCGCACGTGGCAGGTGTTCCATACTGTTAGATATCATGTATGCTCTTTCTCTAAGTTAGTATCTCAGGTTTTAAAACAGCTCAGCATGGAACCAACAGATGGCAAAATGCTTACATTGCTGGACTCCCATATGGTCGACTGTGGTTTGAGTCCCAGAACCAGCAACTTAAAACTCACATTGAGTGCATGTGCGTGCATGCCCAAAATCCCGAGAGGAGAATGGAGGAGAAGGGATTGTGGTGTGGTCCTTCTTCCTGGGGTGTGATTTCTCACTTTCCATTGGTCTCTTTCTGTCACTCTATGGCAAAATCTCTCTTAAAAAATAATTAAAAATAAAACAGCTCAGCAGTATTGATATGCAAAAGTAATACTAATGGATAAATGGATCCACATAAAACACCCATTCATAGCTAATGCCCTAGGCATCAGAATCTTTGCATTATGTATTTTGGGACCTGCATTAACTGACAAAGGAAGTTCACCTGCAAAGCAATGTTTGACGCATTGGACAAGGAATGTTTCAGAAGAAACCTAAATGCTAAAATCCAGTCTTTAAGAACTGCTCAAGACTTGGTCTGTAGTTCCAAAGTTTAGCTTAGTTCCATGACTGACTCTCCTACTTATGTCTACCACATCTGGTCCTTCATCTATGATTTCATTTTTATCAGCAATATAAACTTTCTAACCCAAATGACTTTGAGAAAAACATTGACTTTTGTCATCAAACTTTTTTACAAAAAAAATTTTAAACTACAAAATTCATACTTCTGTACATTAAAGAATAAGGTGAACTTATCCTCTGCTATTTTGCTACAAAGAAAAGAAATTTTACACCTAGAAGATGAATATATACACATGCTAACTACTGTTTGAGACACCTTGGTGTACACTTGCTCCATGTCATCTCATTTAGTCTTTTTGATATTTCATAGTCACATGAACTCTCTAAGAATTCATCATGCCAATTTTCAAATGAAAAAACTGAGGATTTAGGACATTTAGGTACTTGGATAGCTCATCACTGAGAAACACAAAACTTAAAGCTGGATGCCTATGGCTTTAAGATTGTGATCTGCTTTTTTGTAGGCTCACAGAAAATATAACAATTATGTAGTCAAAATTCCTGAGTAGTGGGAATATATTTCACCTATATTAGTCCTTAAGGAACAAAAACAAATAGATTATCACCTTGTTTCCAATAAAAGATCACAGGTCTGTGGATAAGTTTATCTGATGTTGAACGCTTTACGCTATGTGGGATGGAACAGGGCATTGTACAAGTAAAGGACATCAGAAAACTGGGTAGGTGATTGGTGGGGACAATAGGTAGAAAGAAAGGGATGTAGAGTGATTGAATGTATTAAAAATAATAAATAAAAATAAATACTTTTTAAAAAGAGAGAACATTGCAAGACAGCAGATACAGAATAGTTTGAAAAGCTGTACATCTGTGTTTATTGTATTATTCACAATTGCTAAGACATGGAATCAACCTAAATGCCCAAGAACTGCTACTGGATATAAAAAATGTGGCACACTATGGAATACTACTCAGCTATAAGAACAATAAGACTCTGTCATCTGCTACAAAGTGGATGAATATAGGAGACTTACTGCTGAGTGAAGCAAGTCAAACTGTGAAAGACAAGCACTGTATATCCCCCACTCAGTATATACCAAACATCTGCACTCTGTGGCAGAAAATGAAAGAAAGATTCAAAGATATAAAAGTAGGGAGGACAGTGTAGATATCTGAGAATGTATGGAAGGAGAATGGGGAGTAGAGGGTCAGTAGCAGGGAATCTGGGAAGAAATATTTAGCAGATATAAGAACATAGGTTTTCTGTTGAAAATTATGTATTTGATAATATCTTGATTTGATTGCCACATACTATATGCATACTTTCAAAAACCATATTTGGTACTATAGAGATTTACAATGATTAAATGTAAATAAGAAATATATTTTAAAAGTTGTGCTTTTGTTTTCTCTGAACTTGCCCTACTCTTTCAGTAACTATACTGTTCAAATGCCACAGGTAGAACTGTTCAGGTACATGGACATCTTGTCTAGTAAAATGTTGGAAACAGGTGTTTTGAAAGCCTGTCTGGATTCTATTTACTGGAGAAACAGTGAATGGAAGAAAAATTAAGATAACCTCAGGCTCTATTATGGGAATATAGCCAAAGAACAAGCATTTATTAGTTATCTATGACTGAGGAAAAAAAATTATGAAATACCTTAAGATAATAATTATTACCCCAGGATTTCTGTGGATCAGAAATTCAGGCAAGATTAAGCTGCATTCTTTGCTTCAGGAGACCCATAGGCTACATACAGGAACACAGTCATCTCAAGACTCTACAGACAGAGAAGGATCTCAAGCCCGCCTGCGTGGCTGTTAGCAAGATAAAGTTCCTATCATGCTGTTGGGCTGAGGGCCTGTTTTTTGCTGGTTGTTGCTGGAGGCTTCTTCAGTTCTTTGTCACATGGGGCTTTACGTAAGGGAGCTCACAACATGGCAGCCTACTTCTTCAGGGCAAGCAAACAAAAACTAGGATGGGAGAGTTCATGAGCAAACTGAAATGAAAAATGAGTTTTGTAACCTGTAATGGTTAGTTTTATGTGTCTCCCTATTTGCCCAGAGGATGCCCTGAAATTTGGTTAAACATTCTGGGTGTTTCCATGAAGGTGTTTTTGGATGAGATTAATATTTAAAGTGGTAGACTAACTAAAGCAGATTTTGTCCTCTATAATGTGAGTGAACCTCATCTAATCAGTTGATGGCCTAAAAGAACAAAATGGCTGACTTTTAAGGCAAAATAAGAAGGGATTCCTCCTGTTTGAATGTCTTTCAACTTAGACATCAGCTTTTTCCTTCCTTTGATCTCAAACTGACACATTTGCTCATCTTGGATCTTGAACCTGCCAGTCTTTGGGTGGGAGTTACACCATTGACTCTCTTGGGTCTTCAGCTTACTGACTCATCCTGCAGATCTTGGGATGTGCCCACCTCTAAAACAATGTAGACCAATTAATTCATACAAAAATCTCTACATGAAAGGTATAAATATAGATACAGCTATATGAAGGGTCTTTAATTCATGGAAAATATGTATAATAAAAAACTATATATGGATTTCAAAAAATTTTGCAGAAAAATAATCTCATATTTTAATTTAATTTTTCTACTACTTGATATATTTTCACAGGAATATAGATATATAGATGGGTTCTGGCTCCCTGGAATGCCCTGGTCAACACATAACCTAATCTTGGATGGGACATCCTATCACTTTTGCCACTGATTATTTGTAAGAAGTGAGTCACTAGGTTCGGCGCACACAGAAGAGATGGTTACACAGGGTCTGGAGACCAAGAGGTGGGAGCATTGCAAACCATCTTAGAAATCTTACTATCATAGTGCATCATCTGCCAAGTTAAGAAGGAGATGGAGATAGTGGAGGTGTATGGAGGTAACAGCTTGACTTTCTCTGACTGGTTAGAGATTTGCAACCCGAACTTACAGTTTCATAGTAAAACAAAAGCATGAACATAGTCAGAATCTGCATTTGGCAGAGAGTCAGAATTTGTTAAAACAGGACCCTAGGATAATTTGGTTAGTCTCAGAACCAGTGATCCATGGATTGCAGAAAAAGGCCGGAACTTGGATTCAGAGCAAGCAGTTGGATTCAGGCCTCCACAGAGCCTCTGGCACCCTGGATAAACCTTAGTCAACCTAGACTAGTACTCCAGATTTGGTCTCTAGAATAACAATACCTTTTTCAAAGACATGCTGGAAACATTGAACTAAACCCTCATTTCCTTCAGAATGTTCTCCTGAAAGCTAATTTTAGAGGATATGGATACATAGGAGAAAGGATCACTGCCCATTAGGTTTGGGAACTGCTGGGTTAAGTAGAGTTAAATCTTTGTCTTGCACCTCGTTAGAGTCAGTAATGAGACACTGAACGTTCCAGGCCTAGAAAGGAAGTATTCAGCAATGTTAACCAAACATACTTGGCACAGCACTTTTTCCACAAGAATTTCATGGGCTTTGTACTAAATAATGAATTAGATAACACAAATACAAATGCCTGCCAAACCACCCGCATGCAATCAGTGTGTGTCGACTCTGAATCGGATTATAACACAGTAGTCATGGCAGCAAGCCACACTGGGACAGGCCAGGACCTAAATCACAGATGGTCTAGCATTTGGGTAACAGAATAAATCTCCCACTACTAGATGTCCCTGTCCTATAGATAAATATTACAATGCAGCACTCAGATAGACTATATTATGGAGGCCATCAGGCCAGATCACGCTCCTCGAGAATGAAAAGGGTTTCTCCTGAAAAGAGAGGCTAGACTCAGAGTTACTCATCTAAGGAAGAGTTAGAAAAATGGCATTTAAAGTCAGGCCTTCATCAAATTCTAAAGATAACTCCTAGCCTTTTTTCAGATCTCCCTCTAAACTTTGAGTCAGCTCAGTTTGTTTTGGAACAATCCTTCTAAAAGGCTTAAAGATGGCTTTTGACATATGAACTCAACCCCGAGAAGAGCAAGGAAACATCCTGGCAAGATATTTCAAGCCGAAGGCAAACAAGGTTTCATATAAAGAGTATATTTTTAGTTGTGTGTTCCTCTTTCACTTGATATTTTTGTTTATAATCTAGCCTTCTGCAAGAAGAAAGGAAGTACATGCTGGGCTGGCGTGGTGGGAGAGGCATGATACATGAGGCCGGTACAACCATGTCCGATATGAAACTTGAGGTGAGTCTTTAGTTCACACCCCTGGCTCTTTCTTGGGGACTGGTTCTGATTCATTGAAGTAAGTCCCAGTGGTCATGTTTTTACTTGGTGACATGAACAAGGGCAGATCTATTCAAGGGTGAATGCCTAAATGAGACTAGGCTAATCAGATTGCCCCTCGAGAATATGGAGATTTGTATCAGCAGAAACAGCTACTGAGAGTGATGGAGTTGAGCCAGAAAGTGTTTCAAAGTATGCAGATACTCCGACATAAGTCCCTACATTAGTTCCCAACTTCTTATCCTTCCAGAACTAGGCTTTTAAACTCAGATCCCTTTCTTTTTTTTTAATTTTTGTTAATTTATTTATTTTATATACTTCACTGAATATCATCACAGCATACAAAATGCAATTTTCCAGCCAGAATACACTGTAATGTGGCTTAATCATACATGTTATCATCAACAAATAATTTCCCATTTCTAGTTTCTTGTGTATATATATATATAAGTAAGTTCAGCTGATACATACATATCTCTGAACAAAAGTTGACCCTAGGCAGGGAACCAGCAGTTAGCGTAATGGCTATGTCGCTGGACTCCCACGTAGTTGAACGTGGTTCGTGTCCCGGACCCGGTGGCTTAAAACTCCCGCCGGGTGCGTGTGCGTGCGTGCCCAAGATCCCGAGAGGAGAATGGAGGAGAAGGGATTGCAGCATGACTATCCCCCCTGGGGGGGTGATTTCTCGCTTTCTGTCTCTATGTCTCTCTCTGTCTGTCTGGCGAGCGCACGCGCCCTATAGTGAAAAATCTCTCCAAAAAAAAAAAAGAAAAAGTTGACTCTAGGCAGGAAACTCAGTGGGTAGAATGAATATACTATAAAATAGCACATAGCTGAGGCTATATAGCTTGCTGTGGTTACTAAATAAATATTTTTAAATACTTTTTTTTATTTCAAGAGAGGCAGTTTTAACTTTAATAAATCAAAATTTTAAAAATGTTAAGAGAATTTTGCTTAATATTTATAGCCAGGAAACAGATTAGGATTCTGTTAGAATAGTAGATACATGGACCTGTCCACAACTCGAGAGAAGACAAAACTCCTTAACACTGGAAAACAAACCATAGAAGGTCAGTAATGTTTAGTCAAAAGTCAAAATTCTATTTCACCAGTTCAAACTCATGTAGTTTATCTTCTGTTTTGGTCCGATCTTTCTGTTTAAATTCTGGAAGATAACATTCAACTCTGGACTTGTCCCTACCATTAAGCTGGCCATTTTCTTAGTTGTTTTAGATCTCTTATTTCTGTGTGCCTGACTTCAGTTTTCCTGGGATAGCACTCCCTTCAGAATTTCTTGGAGAGCTGGTCTAGTGTTGGTAAATTCTTTCAAGTTTTGTTTATCTGACAATGTTCTTGTCTTCTCTTCCCATATGAAGGATAATCTTGCCAGATATAGTATTCTTGGTTGAAATTGTTTTTCACTCAACACTTTGAATATATTTTTCCATTCTTTCCTCATTTGCATTGTTTCCAATGAGAGGTCCGCCGTTAGCCTGATAGGATATCTTTTGTAGGTAACTTGACATTTCTCTCTTGCCAGCCTGAGAATCTTATCTCTGTGGTTTTGGTTATTCTGGCTATAATGTGTCTTGGAAAAGATCTTCTTGGGTTGATCCTATTTAGGGTCTTTTGTATTTCATGATTCTGGATCTTTGAATGCCTCTCTAAGTTTGGGAAGTTTTCTTCCAGGATTTCATGGAATATGTTGTCAATGCCCTTATTAGTCTCTTCACCTTCTAGGATACCAATTATCTGGATGTTTGGACGTTTAATGATATCTAGTATTTCTCGTATATTATTCTCATTTCTGGGGCTATTTTCTCAGTCTTCATGGTGGATTTTATTAGTCCAGCGATTCCATCTTCTACATCTGAGATTCAATTTTCTGTATGATATAGTCGGCTTTTAATGCTTTCAAAGGAGGTTTTGACGTCCTGTATTATAACCTTCATCTCCAGCAGTTCCATGTGATTCTTTTTTATAGTGCGTATTTCTTCTTTCAGCTCTTGCAAGAACTTCCTCACCTCCTAGAACTCATCGGCTTTTTTCTTCTGGTGTTCATTGTCTCTCTTCTCTTTCATCTCTGTTAGTTTTGTCACTATGAATACTCTAAATTCTTTATCAGACATTTCCATGAGCTCCATTGTATTGTCTGTGAATGAAGAAAAGTTATTCTTTTCCCTTGGGGGTGAGGTATTTTCTTGGTTTCACATATTTCTTGTGCCCCCACACTGATTTCTAGTCATCTGATGGGTTATGTGTTTCTTCCTAATTTCTAGAAGATCAATCTGAGTGATCAGAGGTGCATAGGAAGATGTGATCTGAAAATTCTTTGGCATTGCATTTTTCTCCAGGGGCTCTACCAAGGTAAATTCTCAGCAGAACATCTTCATTGCTCTTATCTCTGAAATCACTAGATCTTCAGATCTCTTTCTAATAAATTTTTCATTTTACTAAGGCTGTAAAAAAATCTGTTTCTCCCCTTTAATCAAATGAATCTTAATACATATATGGTGACAGCTGTCATTCTTTTCTGAGTGATTACCTAAGAAGAAGGTCAATGATGACAGTAGGTGGTGTGATGGTTAAGGCACTGGACTCTCAAATGGCCCACTGCAGTTCAAGTCCCTGACCTGACAGCTTGCTTTCTCACTTTCCCTCTCCCTCTCTTTCTCTGTCTCTCTCTCCAGTGGGCACACATGCCCAATAGCAAATTAAAATAATAACAATGATAAAATTAAATAATTATTTTAAAATAAATAAATAAATTAGTAGTAGTAGAGTTGAAAACCCTCCTTGGGTGTAGCTTTATCCTACAGGAGAGAATATAAGTGAGACAGGAATAGGCTTATCACATGATCAGGGTAGAATTTCCCCCCAGTCAGAGTCTGGGAGTAATTACCCTCAAGGAGGCAGAACCCATATTAGACAAGCAAGGAGAGAGCAAAACACAAAGTGTTAGCAGGTAGCCTTAGGGAACAGTCAGAAAGACATCTGTAAACCGTTTAGCTAAACAGCTAAAGTTCAAAGGAATGCCCTCAGGCTTAGACAAACTGAAACCCAGGGCAGGGATACCAGTCCAAGGTGACAAGATAATGACCTATTTGGGTCATGGGTCATAGTAGAAGCCCAGTTTCCAGAACCAGAGCAGGGCCACTCATTGATACATGACCTGCATTTCTGAACCCTTTAATTTTCCAGCTAAGGACTGGTCTGGTCTCAAAGTCTGGAGCAGGGCTGAGGGTGCAGGTAAGGCCAAGTACAAGCAAGCTGGGAACTGGGAACAGAGAGTTCAGTGCCTACACTGTAGTCTTCCACCACCTTCACAGTGATATAGCCCTGAGAATCTCTGCTCAGCCCCTGAGCTGCCAAGCAGAAAGTACCGCAGAAAAGGATGAAGTAAGTCAAGGGGAAGGGAGTCATTGTCACCAGCCTGGTGGACTGGTCATGCTGGAAGCAGCATGTAGGGGTGGAGAAGTGGAAGAGCAGCATCTGTTTGTTTATTTCCTCATGGTAACTAACAAACCTAGCCAAATGCAGATACACTGAAGTGCACAAAAACTTTCTTAACTTCCTGACTCAGAAATGTTACTAAATATATAGATCCGATGTAGGCAGAATCCCAAGTCCCATCTAACAATCTTCAAACACTGCTTCCCCTGTGCCTTTTTATGTAGAAGTATCTACCAAAGGTCACCAGGATGTACTTGCCTTTTTGCTCCATATTTTCAAAACTTGTCCACATGGAACCCCAATATTTACCTTCTTGTGTTTCCTAACCTCAAAGGAGGCAGGCACACTGGAGACATCTGGTCAAAATTCATGGTTGATTGATTGATTCATATCCTACTTTATACTTCTCTTAGTACCCTCTCCCACCCATTCCTGAGACCGAATGTGACTGGAGGTCCCTCAAAATAGAAAATAAAGCTACAGCCTGTATGGAATCCATGCTTCTGATGGGTTGAGACCAATGTCTAGTAAAGAGAACATAGATGGGTTAATCCATCTAGGACAGGAAGGGCAGGATTAACCATGCATTCTAAAATAGATTTTCAAGGGTCTTTAGAAAATATCTGGTTCTAGCATACAACATCTGAGGAGATTGGTTTATTTAGCAGTGGCCAAAAGATAAGACAATTCTTAACGAAATTTCCATGAGACCCCAGGATTATGTTTATCAACATGTTCATTTTTAGATTTTAGCTGGGCTTGAAGAAACTCACTGGGGCCTGGTGGAGGGGATAAAGATAACTGTAAAATAAAGAAGATGCATTTCAGACCATATTGGGAGCTCAGTGAAAGTAAAGCTTAAAAGAATTTGTCACCAAACATCACAAGAAAATTAAACATTTCTCCCTTCTTCCTTTTTAAATCTACTTTTTTGAAGTATGGACTTCATAAACTCATTTTTGAAAAAATAATCTATATTTGGTAAAATTGTGAGCTGTCAGAAGAAACAGAAAATAAAATAAAAGTAAATGATGTTTTCTCCTCTTTTCACCTCCTACAAATTGTATTTTTTTGCTGAGGAAGGAGTAGGAGTAAAGCTACTAAACCACTGAAATGTGTACCTTCAAAGTTCTTAGGAGAGTGTATCTATGACTTCAACCATGGGCTTCCTCTTGTGAGACCCTTTAGAATACTACCTGATACATAGCGAGTACTCTCTAAGCATCTGCCGTTAGTAGTAGCATTTGCATTTGTGCTAGTAGCTGTATTTCTTTAAAGTTTTTTGCCATAGGGCACATGCGCTCACCATAGAGGAGAGAGACAGAGAGAAACAGTGAGGCAGTGAGAGGGAAATCAAGAAATCACTCCTCCAGGGGGATAGCAATACCACCACCCCTTCTCCTCTATTCTCTTCCTGGGATTTTGGGCATGCATGCACACATTCCCAGCATGATCTTCAAGCCACAAGGTCGGATTCAAACTGCAGCCAGCCACATGCAGGAGTCCAGCACCTTAACCCCTGCACCACCGGCTGGCCCTGAGTAATTATATTTTCAATGTAGAATTTCTTGTCCCTAACAAGCCAATTCTTGCCTTCTTTCATACTCTTGCCCTTATTATTATCCAGTTGCTTAGGACCTACAGAAATTTACCCCAAATATTTTAATTAAAGTCATTGTTTCTACAATCAATAAAGCTAAAAAGAAATCTTCCCTTTACATCTCTCTAGGAATGGTATCTTGAGGACTAAGCCCCCTTTCAATTATTAATACTAAGAATAAGAATATATATGCAGGCAGTCCTCACAGCTGCCCCTTCTTAAATCACATCCATCTGCTACTTGATGGTGCTGACAAACCTCTATATTTCACTTTTCACTTCATTGATTCCTTCATTCCACAGTTCCCCTGCTGATTCATTGGACTCAAAGCCAACATGTCAACTTTTTGCCTTACTGATTCAGGAACACCAATGGATGGAAAAAGAAGGTGAGCACTGGCTGTCCCAAGGCAGGAGACAAAGGAATGATTCATTCCTTACTATTCTTCTACTTTCAATGACATTTCCGTAGCAAAAGTTGAGACAATCTGCATGCAGCCAAAAGCATGTTTTTGAGCTTAGTTGATTCATGGGACCACAGGGACTCGACTCTATCCCATTTAGGATTGTCTGTTCTCAATAATCAAGGACTAAATCCAAACAACTGTGAAAGGTGCTGTTAACAAGGAAGGAAATGCAAAGAACACAATGCTATTCTGCAGCAGATTTTGAACCTATCAAACTTGATTCACTCCCTATAAGTAAAGGTTCCCCTTGCCTGTAAACGTAAATAAGAAAGGTCATTTTCCTATTATTTACAACAGCTTCAAGACTCCATTTATCAAATGAGCCAGTCCACAGCTCCCATCCCAGGAAATCCTCAAAGGTGGTGGTATTTTATGTGCTTTCCTGAGCCAGTTGATCTCTGCTTCTATGGGTTTAGGTCATCAATCTTCATTCTGTCCACAGGCCACTTAGGCCAACTGCCAGTTAACATTTGCTCTTCTAGAACCACTGACCTGCCTCCAGCAAAAGCAGCTATTTCCACACTGCTCTTGGTTGGAAAAGGAGGGAACAGAGAAATGAGCTCTTTCCCTCTTTCTTGCACATCTGATGTAGAAGTGACACTTCCTTTGCACAGTTGAGACCAAGCTGTGACTTCTGACAAGATTTAACTGAAGTTCCCAAGACAACAAAGAAATTGTGACCTTTCAACTCCCCAGGATGCTCCATGTGCCAGTAGCATTAACATCACCTTGCAGCTCCCCAGTAATGCAAAACTCAGGTCCCTTCCCAGCCCTCCTAAAACATAATCTGCATTTTGACAAGCTCCTCAGGCATCTGGATATTAAAATTTAAGAAACATAAATTTCAACACAAAGGAACTTTCATCTACATGCCCAATAGCTACCATTTGCTTCTTCAGATCCACTCTCTCCCTTTCTCTATCTTCTTTTCTGCCTAGGCTGTTGAACCTTTATTGATCCACATCAAATGGGTTTCTTTTCCCTCTGGCTTCTTTTTAGGTTTGGCCAATGAGAAGTGCTTAGCAGATTAGAGGATAGGAGGAAGATGAGGCTAGGTGGGCCTTAGGCTGGTTGTGTCCTTCTCCACTGTTAACTGCCTTGAGGAAAGCCACCCACTTCCTTGGTTTAAGACCTGAAGTCAAGGGTCCCAATTCCTTCCCCAGGAAATACCCCCTTTCGTGTTTGATGAGTAGAGTAAATATCCACTCTTGCCAACCACTTTTTTGAGTTTTCTCTCTAGTCCCAATAGAGCAATAACATTAAAACACAGTGGTTCAACATTTGTACATTTTACAACATCCCATTAGCCTTAGATGTTTTCTAAGTGAAAGCCACACAGTCTTCCTCTAATATGAGAGCGGCTCTACACAGCCTTTTAGCCTGCATAGCCATCTTAGCCTTCTAATAATATCCTGAGAAATAGTTCAAACAGGAATAAATGTGAAGTGATTTTCAACATTTGTGAAAAAAAGATAAAATTAAAGTATGAGCTTATTTTGGTGCAAAAAATTTTGAAATCCATGCATAGTTTGTTCATAATATACATTTTGCATGAACTTGTTGAAGACCCCCTCATACATTTCTACTTTTGTGCACCACATTTTTTAAAGTTATAGGAAGGCTTCTGATCTTGCCCACTTAACAGTCCTTCCCCTGTTAGGAGCCAGACTGCTCTTCCTGAATTATAAATGAGATTTTATCACCCTTTCACATTGAAGCCTTATGAAGATTAAATTTGTGGGCCAGCTGCAGAGGTTCAGCCACAACGAAATGCTCTGTGAGGTTGGACCCACATAGGGAGGTCCTAGGTTCACATCCAGAGGTCTTTCTGTACATACCATGCAATAAACTTCCTCTAAACTAACCTTCTCAAGCACTTCTTGGAGTAAATAACCTCAAGACTATGGTTTGTGTTTCAAATACAAATCAAATCTTTCCTTAGAGTTTGTTGTTTGTTTGCTTTAGAGCGCATGTGCTTGCCAGAGAGATAGAGAGACAGAGACAGTGAGAGATAAAGTGAGAAATCTCCCAGGGAGATGGTTACACTGAAATCACTTCTCCATTCTCCTCCCAAGATCTTTGGCACACATGCCTGGTGTGAGTTTCAAACCACCAGGTCCAAGACTTGAAACGTGGTCAGCTATGTGGGTGTCCAGCAATGTAACTGCTTCACCATCTACTGATCCCTAATCTTTTTTTTAAGTTTATTTATTTATTTCTTCCACAAGAGAGAGAAAGAGGAGAGAGAGTGAGAGAGAGTTATCCCTAATAAGGTCATCATGCTATAATCGATCCTGAGCTGACTGAGGTTAGTATAGAGAAAGTTTATTGGGGAGTGCCCTCATGATCAACTCTTGAGAAGAAAGTGAAGAAAGCACCATTGGACAGAGAGAAACTGGGCTACCATGCAGCTGTAACAAATCTTCAGCTGATCTCAAAGCTGGGATAACCATGTAGAGTCACTAATTAAAACAAAGGGAACTAAGCCTTTGCATCCCAAGCACTTCCAGTCATTTCATGTGGACTGCCCTTGGAAAGACAGCGTGACTTTGAACCACCAGGTTCTCTTCAGCCAAAGGCAATCCCAGAGGGATATGAACTTCCAGATGGCACTGCCCACAGTCTCAGCAGCTGGAAGAATGTGTGTTCCATTCCCAAAAGCAGTGATTTGAGAGTTGAGTCTGGTTGGCACAACAGCATCTGCTATATGTGGCCTATACAGCCTTGCAGGGTCTGGTCCTGTCTACCTCTAAAGTTTCATCTTATCCAACTCACCACCCACTGTACTCTGGTCACATTGGCCTCCATTCTGACTTCTCTGGGACTTTGTACTTCCTGTCCTCTTGCCTAGACTGCCTTCTCCTGGATCGTTTCTGGCTGATGTGTTCTGCTTTGGGTGTTAGACCAGAGATTACTGCCACAAAGATATCTTCTTTGACTACCTATCTCACATCTCTCTAGCTTGTACTGTTACATCACATTGCTTATTTTTTCACACAACTTTTAGCAAAATGGCATTATTTATTTGACTACTACTTTTTTTTTTTTTTTAGACTTTTGTCACAGGGCACTTGTGCTTGCTGGAGAGAAACAGAGAGAGGGAGAGTGAGAAATCACTTCCTGGAGGGAATGACCACACTGCAATGCTCCCTCCTCAAATCTCCTCTTGGGATTTTAGGCATGCACGCACATGCACCTGGCATGATTTTCAAGTTGTCAGGTTTGCAACTCAAACCACAGTTGGCCATGTGAGGGTCGAGCGCCTTAATCACTACACCACCTGCTGTCCCCTCAAATGTCTCTCAAAGGTAGGAGCTTTGTTGCTCTTCTTCATTCCTTTCCTCCAAAGCCTAGAACAGTGACTGAAACACAGCAGATGCTATGAATAATTGAATTAAGGAAACTGCATTCTAAATTGAAGTTGTTTTTACATTTTCACCTTATTGGAAGGATGGCTTCCTCTGACTTGAGAGCATTGTCTTTCTTCCTAATAAATTCCTACTTGGCTCAAATGTCAGTTTTTCTATAAAGCATTTTCATCTGATCATTTGAATCTCTTCCATCTTTAGCCTGTCACTCTCAGCTCTCCATGGCTAGCATGATGCTGAGCATGGAGGAGGCAGTCATAGCAGTGCATTTATTGAAAGCCAGCAATGTGCCCAGCATTGCTATGTGCACAGGACACACTGTGAACAAAACAGACAAAATCCTTGCCCTCATGACATTTATATTCTGATTGGGGGGACACAAACATAAACAAAATAAATAATTCAACTCTGTACTTTAGCAGGAAAGGAGGATAGAGAACACTAGGTGATATTGTAAAAGTTAAAGAATAGTGTAAAGAGACCTCATAGAAACCCAAAGGAAGTAAAGGAAAGAGCCCCAAGAATATCTGAGCGAGAAGACTTCTAAGCAGAGAGTAGAGAGTTGAAGGTTAGAGTGGCCTGCTTCTTTAAGGAGGATTAAGGAAACCCCTGGGACATGAGTGAAGTGAGTAAGAGACAGAGGAAGATGATAAGAGAATGGAGAGATGATGGAGGCCAAGTCATTGAAAGCCCACAAGTCATGCTTGGCAAGATGTGAGACACTGGAGGTTCTTTCTGAGCAGAAGAGTGACATAAATTGACTTAGATTTTGAAAGTAGGTTGTGTGTGCATGGTGACAGGTGGGGAACTAGGGGGAACCTCAGGGCCACTGCAGCCACCAGGTAAGAGATGATGGTCTTGGATAATGTCAGTGGAGGTTAGAGCAACAGTCAGTTTTGAGATATATGCTGAAGACAAAACCATAAAGATCTGTCCTTGGATTGAATGTGGAATGAGCCCAAGGGGTCAAGGACAACTCTGTATTTTCACATAGTATAAGTTATCATTTACCAAGATGGGTAAGACAGTGGGTGAGCAGGCTGGTGAAGAGGAGAGAGGAGAGCAGAAATCAGACATCTGCCAGAGTAAGTTTGAGATGCTCAAGGGAAGAAAAAGGAAAAGAAGGAAGGAAACCTGGGATCTAAATGCAGAAAAGACTTTTCTGAGAATGAGTAACAGCAGCAAATTATGTAATCAATCAATAAGCAACTTTATAAAAAGTGCTAAAAGCAGGAATTCAGTCACAATATTCAAGGTATGGAATTCACACATTCTTTTTTTTTTTTTTTGGAGAGATTTTTTTGCTATAGGGTGCATGCACTCGCCAGACAGACAGAGACATAGAGACAGAAAGCGAGAAATCACCCCCCAGGGGGGATGGTCACGCCGCGATCCCCTCTCCTCCATTCTCCTCTCGGGATCTTGGGCACGCACGCACACGCGCCCGGCGTGAGTTTTAAGTCACCGGGTCCAGGACGCAAACCGCGGTCGACCTCGTGGGAATCCAGCGACATAGCCATTACACTAACTGATGGTTCCCGAATTCATC